TGCCTCTGTCCTGTTTTTTGTCTCTTCCCAAGAAAGAGGAATGCAGACTTGTTTGGTTGGGTTTTTTCAGTATTTGTTTCTGTTGTATGATGGGGTTTTTTAAACACAGTACTCCTGACCAGTGGGAAGATTTCCAAAGGGTGATGATGCATCATAGTGTGGATTCCCCCCTCGAAAGGGAAATCCACTGTGCCTCCATCTAGGGGCTAAGAGAAAACTTCAGAACATAAAATCTAATTTCAAGGAGGTGAATTTTCTCTGAGTGAGAGAATGGAGAGGAAACCACCAATGTTCTGTCCTCACCCTGGAAGTCTGAAATAACTAGTAATTATAGCAATACCAAAAGGGACAGAGAGAAGTTATTTCAGTGAGTGAGAGCAGGCGAGGGAGAGAAGTAACAGTAACAGTGTAGCACAGAGATGAAAAGTGCTTTTTATGGTTGGAGGTTGTTTTAAGCATGAGAACCAGGAAAAGCTGAAATCATAAAGAGGCTCATGGGTGAGGAAGGGGGGCAGATATACCACCATATGCTAGAAAAATCCCCACAGCCATTTGGATCCCACCTTGCAGGTGTCTCTGCACCCCTCTGTGAGTTGGGACCTTGGCAGCTGGTAGGCAGCAGTTACCAGCTGTTGTCAGTAACACTGTCCTGTTGGAGCCAGGTGGGTCCCTGCAAGGTTGTGCTTCTTAAAAAGGCATTGCCTTCTCTTCTGTGCTCACTCTGTCTGGAGAAGGGCCAAAGGCAGCAGTTGAATAGTCATTTGATCCCTAAGAGTTTGAGCTGATTCACAGGAAAGGAGCAAGGGTTCAGGGACCCAAAACCCCACAGCACTATGTCAGCATAATCTGTGTCCATGAGTTAGGTTTGGAGTTGTGTCTGTTCTCTCTAGAAAGCAGGTTGTCCTCTCAGTTTTTGGAGAAGCAGTACAGCTAAATAGTGGAGTCTTGACAGAGCTGGTGCTAAAGTTCCCTCAAGGGAAGCAAAGAGACTTTGTACAGAATGCTGATTTGGGCCAGGGCGTGTAGCAGCTGAAGGGAGGTTGGAAGAAAAGACTGTTTCATTGCTTTCTTCTGAACCTATGCTGTCTTGTGCAATGAAATGCTGGTGCCCTCAAACACCTGTTGACGTGGGTGAGAAGGTGCTTGATGTTTTGCTGAGGAATTTAGAGCCAGCAAGACTGAGCACTTTGTGGTGCACTGTTTAAGGGCTTGACTTGGAGAAGGGGCACACAGTCTCTGACCAGCTATGGCAGACTGTATCACAGGCAAAAGGTTTCTGAACAGCACTTCAGATACAGGATGGGAGCAAAGGGGACAGGAGCCTGCATAGTATCTTCTGTCCCTGGCTCCCATATTCCCCCACACTATTGACAGCAGGGCCAGGGACTGCTGGGTGGGATCTCCAGCCCCATGGTGGGCTCTTCCCTGCCACCAGGGCAGAGACAATAAACTTGAAGCAAAGGTGTGAAATTTACTCATAGCACAAAGCAATATACAGCTCCGTTGTGTCAGTTATGCCAAGCTCGGAGTTCTTTGTTATCTGATGATTGCAAATAACCTTGATAACCTCGTTGGCAGTCAGCAGAAGCACATCAAATGCCATGCAGGAAAAGAGTTGAAGCTCTGGTTCAACCCATACCACAGTCCTCAGCGGTTCTGGGTCCATCTGAGCAATTTGTGAGGCAGCAGACTGGAATCAGACCAACCCAAATGCTGTCACACCCGGGGAGCTGGACTGACTGCCAGAACAATGTGGCTTTGAAGCAGCCCCAGGAAGGGCCTCCTGTACATTCCACAGCCAGTTGGTTTGGGCTTGGAGGGAGACAGGACTGTAGGCTGACTGCTAACCCCTGCCAGGGCGAGTTCTCTGCTGCGGGTCAGGCTCAGCTGTTAGCACACAGAGGTAGATGCCGCCTGGTGAGCCACAGGCAGGGTGCTGGGCGTGTGGCAGTGCCCTGCCTCCTGTGCTGACTGTTTTTAGGGACTTGTCGCTGTCCCCAGCCATCCCAAGCTCAGATTTCGTGAGGGGCAGACAGCTCATGTGCTAATTAAGGCTCATGAAATGGGGCCAGCCGCCCTGATCCTTCATGTGACTGATGAATTAGACTTTGTTTCCTTCCCTTCTGAAGGCTTTAGTAAAAGGCTAAAGTTCAGGATTTTAGAGAAAACTCCAACATGTCTTAACTAGGCTTGGAGAGTCCCATAGAGCTTGGAAGTAAGCAAGGAGGATTATAAGGGCATTAGTTCCAGCTCTCACAAGGCCATCTAGGCCAGGGTGTAATCTGTACTGGGTAAATTCAAGTGCTTTGTCCTTGGAAATGCCTCACGGTCACATTCCTGGTTTTCATATGCCCTAATGCTGCTCATCTTGCTTTGTATTTTATGAGCCTATGATGCATTCATTGCAGGTTTGCTTCTTTCCTCTGGCTCTTCGTTGATGAAGGTATGAACAGAGGTGACAGTAGCAGGATGACCACAGCGCTGTGGGGTAACAGCAGGACTGTGTGTATCATTTCTGAGGAAACCCCATTACCCCATAAATGACCAGCCAGGTGGATGAAAACACATGGTTTATTTGCATTCCTGTCTGATAAGCAAACCTGCTGCTTGACCTTGGCAGGATTGGTGTGTTTGGAGGGGAAGTGGCAATGGGGAGCAGGTTACAGAGTGCCACCAGACTGGGAAGGTTATTTGCAGATTTATTTCATGTTTGTGTATAATGGAAATGAGAATGAGGAGAGTTGGGGAGATTTGAACAGCAAGGACTTGACAGATAAAACCAGTTTTTATTTTGTCCTTGGTTTCTTCTGTAGCTCAGATATTCCAAGCAGGCTCAGCCCTGTGCCCGAGTTGTGGGTTTTTTCTTTCCATGCACAGTGTGAAGAGAGTGAGAAGGGGTGAGAAGAGTGAATATGGACATCCAATTCAGCAGAGAAACCCCCATGCGATGGATTTGTGTGATTCATTGCCAGAGGCAGCAACCAGTGCAGAGAAACTTCTGGCTTGTTCAAACCACAGTGTGTCATGAGCAGGGGATCCTGGAGGAAAATGAGGACACTCTGTGACCATGTGTGCCAAATCCATCAGGCTGACTTGAGCTACAGTCTGCCAGCCAGCAAGGCTGACTGTGTGATGTCCCCAGAGCAGGAGGAAACCTGGAGCTCTGATACTGTGCTGAGTCCTGACCCCAAAGGAGCCCCAGTGGAAAACATTTCCCTCCATGTGTTACCCATTGATTGGTATATGCCCTGATGCACCAGATGTGCCCATTGCCCTGTGTATATTCTCCACCACATCACCCAATGCGATGCTACCCTGTGCCTTGCTGAGGAAACAGATTTTCCAGAAATCAGGATTCCTATGTAAAATTCATACTCAACGTGACAAAAGTTCACCTGAATCAAGGAATCTTCAGGATATTTTGAAGGTAGCTAGACCTTCAAAAACGTGGAAGAGCACCAAGAACATTCTGCTACTCTCCTTCCCTTGTCTGCCCTCTTCCACCTGGCTGTGACCACAATGTAATCAGTGGAACCACAGCGTAATCAATTCATTCTCCAGCCAACAGAAAAGGTGGTGGCTGGATTGTGATAAGATACAGATATTTTCGTGCTGTGGTGTGCAATCTGTGGGAGGGACATGTGTATAAGAGGCTGCATTGCATGGTGCTGTGAATAGCTCTCTGCCTGATCCTTAAAAACAGGACGTTGTAAAACATGATGGATATGCTTATCCAGACAGGAGTTATAGAATCTTTTTCTCTCTATGTTATGCCCTGATCCCATTACTGCGTGAATGGGCATTTAGTTTCATTCCCACACAAGGATCATTAGCTACTGGGTCATAGGCAGGAAAAGGCAGCTCTGCAAAGGAAGGGCCTCTCCAGAGGGGTAGAGGACCCGTAGCAGCAAGGGCCAGCCCCACATTTTGCAGGAACAGCAGCTGTGAAAATGCAGGCACTGCTCTAAGCACCTTGTTGGGTCTGAGCTCTCCCTGAGAGAGCCTGGTTAAGTGCTAAACCGGTCTGGCTAGTTTTAATTCTCTTGCCCCAATGCGAAGTCAGGTTGTTTTGTAGAATGGGAGAGCTGGGAAAGATAGTTCTTGTCCTCTACTTGCCATTTACTGCTTCTCTGTGTTTCCCTGTGGTCTCAAGATTCCCTGCCAGCCTTGCTGGTGGTTCTTTCCCCCAGATGCTGGTGGTGTCCCTGAAGGTATCAGTCAGTGGCATGGCTTGGATGGAGACATGGCTGATTACAGGGTGGAGACACTTGGTGTTCCCAGTAATAGCTACTCATTTCCCAAATCTCTGCCTTGAATAAATAACATCAAGGCTGACTGAGGAATTCCTAATTAAAGGGGACGCAATCAAAGCTGAAACAATATTGCTTTGACTTCAGCCTGCAGTTTCCTTCTGCCCACACTGCCCAGAGGCCAGAAGTTCAGGAGAGAGGTGTAAATGTTAAAAGAGAGCCATACTGTGGTTATTTATGTTTGCCTGTTTGTTTTTAATAGGGCTGGTGCACAAAAATAGGGGATTGATTCTTTTGTCTCCTTATGTGGTACAAACCAAGAGTGGTGCAATGGACATTAGGTCCATGTCAGTGTGAGTATGACCAAACTCAGGGTTTCTGGCCTTGCAGGAACAAAGCAAGTAAGCCTCATTTTCCCCAGCTGTGGAGCTGAAGTCATGCTGAGCCTCTTCCCTTCGTGTGCAGGACACCAGAGATCACACAGTGCGTGCCTGTGTGTTGGTAGCATGGGTGGCATGGGGGAGGTTGAACGCCCAACCCTCCCAACGCTGCTGAGCCATGTGCTCTGTGGTGGTGACATCTAGTGGGGAGCACTTGGCGACCCGGAATTTGCATCTGGATTTGCCTCCTTGCATGTTGTACTGAAAGCCAGGGAGAAAGAGGCTGGGATCTGGAGTGTTGTGAGAGCCTCTGAGAGCGCCAGGACTGCTCTTAGCCCTACCCTGTCTTGGTTTCTCTTTTCCAGAGAGAGCTACTGATGGGTCCCTGCGGAGCGAGGACTGGGCTCTCAACATGGAGATCTGCGACATCATTAATGAGACTGAAGAAGGGTAAGGTTGCTGGCAAGGGTCTATCTCCAGTGACAGGTGCCAGCACATCCTATAACACTACATCCCTAGGCTGCAGTGGTAGCATGCACTGGTGGAGGAAATAGGCTAGGTTTCCCAACAGTCCCTTAGACTAGACTCTGCCAAGAGACCTAGAGACACAGGCAAGCTGTCAGAGCATTTGTTAGATGCTTCTCTATAAACTTTGTGAGCACTGGGAGCCATTCAAACAGGCCTTCAGGGACCCTCCATTCAAGCCAGGCTGCCTCCCATTTCCCAAAGGCATATTTACACTTCTTCCACTTTGGTTTATTCCTCCTTCATACCCCTCTCTTTCTCTCCTCTGGGAATGTAAAAATCTGCAGGCTGGTGACTGAGGAGAGAGGAAAATCTCAGGCTTCTATTCATTTTTCTCACTGTGTGAGTCCTGCTGGGGTTTGCTTCTCAGGTATTTTTATGTACGGTCACTCAGACACACACAAAGTGGGTGGGAGAGCCCTTGTCTCCCTCTCCCTCTGGGGAGATGTTCGTCAGTGTGCCAGACTTGTTAACTCTGGACCTGGGGATTTGCCAGAGAATTCAAGGGGGACTGCTCCTTCTCACAGTGGAGATGTCAAGAGCAGCATGTAAAAAAGAAGGTGCTACATGGAATAAAACATGTAGGTTTCACTCCTGCTGTCCTACCCCACAGTGATGTTGACAGAGGATTAGCAAGCCCAGTTTTCAGCTTCACAGTTGTATGAAAACAAAGTCAAACATCTCTACTGACAGATCTGTCACCACTTCTTTTCCATGCTATCCCAATGGTACAAATGCACCTGTCTCTGTCTGCAGTTCTCAGTCCTGAGCTGTGGCCAATCTCTTCAGGTCTGGCCACCTGATAACACAGCTGTACCCTTCTGGCATAGTGGCCTCTCCCACTGCCCTGCTAATGCCCATCCATTGACACCATGCTGCCCCATTGGCCAGTACACTCCTGCCCTCCTCACTGCCTCAGCATCTCCACCCCACTCTTCTCCTCCAGCACTGTTGCTCTTCCAGCTCAGCCTCTCTTCCTGTTCTCTGCTAGAGCATGTTGGTACATCTGTGCCCTCTCAAGACTACAGTGGTCTGAAACCACAATGTTTCTCTCCTCTGAGAATGGTTAAGGAGACCCTGCTATGCCGCTGCTCTCTTGCCCACCTGCAATATAAGCAAGATTTTGCTACTGCATCTCTCCTGCGGCTTTTTCCTTTTCTTCAGGGAAATGCTAAACAGCTTCTCTCTGAGCAACACAGGAATTGCTTCAGCTTCCTCTCTACTTTGTGTTCCTAACCCATGCCAAACTTCTCTGTGATCTCCTCCTCTTCAGTGTTTCTGCCATGGGATTTTGCTCTACCCTCAAGTAGTGTGTTTCTAGCATTGTTTTTACTCTGTTGCATCCTGAGCACTTTGAGTTGTTGCAGACATCAGCAGAGGCCTCTAATTTCAGTAACAGCACTCAGGGACTTGGTTTAGTGGTAGACTTGGCAGTGTTAGGTTTGCAGCTGGACTCGACCCTAAAAGGTTGTTTCCATCCTAAACGATTCTATGATTAGCAGTACCCCACTGTTCTTGCAGAACCACAGGCAGAAGCTGCTTTACCAGTCCTTGCTTCAAGCCACCCTGAAAACATGATGGGGAAGGATACCTGAGGAATATGAGGCATCCAGAGCCAGTGGCTGTTTTGCTTTGCCTTACTGTAGGTGGGGTCTCAACCTTCTGATGATCTTTCTTAATCTTGTTTCTTCTTCAGGCCCAAAGATGCCTTCCGAGCCATTAAGAAGAGAATTGTAGGGAATAAGAACTTCCATGAAGTTATGCTGGCTTTGACGGTGAGTGGTCAGGGCTTATTCTCAGCTCTGTGATGTCCTGCTGTAAAGCTGAGTGCTGAACACAAGCTTTAGGTGCACATGCTGAAAAGACGCATGTACCTAAAGCCAACAAGGCAAACACATGTGGGCAGAGAAGGCTACAGCTAATGCTTCACTGCCTTTGAAGGTCCTGGAGACATGCGTCAAAAACTGTGGCCATCGCTTCCATGTCCTGGTGTCCAGCCAGGACTTTGTAGAAGGTGTCCTGGTGAGAACAATCCTGCCGAAGAACAATCCTCCTGCCATCGTGCATGACAAGGTGCTGACTCTCATCCAGGTGAGCCAGGAAGTGTGAGCATCTGCACCAGTTCAGAGAGTGCTTGTCTTCAGACGTTTGTACAAAAAACCATTGTAAATGACGATGGGCTGTACTGTCTCCTTCTCCCCAGTCCTGGGCAGACGCCTTCCGCAGCTCACCGGACTTGACTGGTGTCGTCGCTGTCTATGAAGACCTGAGACGGAAGGGCCTAGAGTTCCCCATGACTGATTTGGATATGCTGTCACCCATCCACACACCACAGAGGGTATGGGAGCGTTGCTGAAGAGAAGGGTGTTGGGCAGCTGCCATTCTGGAGCTATGAGAGGACTTCAGAAACTCTTATCGTGCATTTAGAGGGCTTTAGGGGAGTGAGAAGCTCCAGTACAGCCAAAAGCTGTTGAAAGCAGATGGAGAGTTGCCATCAACATTTCTCCTCTAATTGCACTGCTCTGTCAGTTGAGAGTATGTAACATCTCTTCTCTCTGTCACTTTTCCCACCTCCGCCTGTAGACTGTGTATAGCTCCAACTCACAATCCGGACAGAACTCACCTGCAGTCAACTCCCCTCAGCAGATAGAGTCCATCCTCCACCCTGTCACCCTGCCCACAGGGAGAGACACATCCAGCGATGCGCCCATCACCCCCACACCAGAGCAGGTGAGTTGGACACAAGGCCTGTGCTGTTGCTGACTCTCCCTGTGCTTGGGAGCTTTTTTACGAACACTGCCTGGGACTGCTGTCCTGGTCCTTCACCAACCTCTGTCTTCAAGGAGCCATTCCTCTAGAACACAGTCCCTTGAGAGCTCCCCAGAGCTCCGTTTTGCTTACAGTGATGAGCTGGGATACCACAACCATGGAGTGGTTATGTTTTCCTAAGACAGGACTGCTTGCAGGTAGAGGGAAGTTCTTCTGGCTATGGGCAAGTGGTGAGCTGAGACATGGAGGTTTAGAGCAAGGTCTTTGTACAGAAAAAGCTTGCTCAGTAGAGGCCTCCTTATCATCTTTGTTTATCTTGCCTCACTGCTTACTTTATATGACTCAACCCTGTCTGGCTATGTGGTTTCCAAAGGCTAGGGCTTCCTCACTTGTTTCCCCATCTTCTTTTCTCCTTCCCCTCTCTGACTTCATATGACACCACATTCAGCACCAAACCTCCAGCTGTTGGTGTGTTGCATTCTCTTGCAGAACAGAGGGTAAAAATGGTTCTAAGGAGGCTCATTAGCAGCTTGTGAAACCAGAAGGATAAAACTTCACTGCACACTTAGTTGAGGCTCTCCAGTTGAATGGGAATTCATTTTTTCCCCCTCTCTTACACCACTTTGGAAATTAAATTATTTAAGTGGCTGCCATGCAGGAGCTGCTAGCTGGGGAGAGATCTGAATCATAACAGCAGTCTGTGCTGGCTATTGAAAACCAAGGCTAGGCTAGTGGCCAGAGATCCCAGGTGAGGGCCTGGCATCTGTTAACAGCAAATGAACTTGACGGTAAGTAATGGAGATTCTTTCTGCTGGGAGCTCCTGAGAGCTAAACTGAGTGATGACAAATGAACTCCCCAGTGGCTGTTCCTTCGGCTCTGAATGCACATGCACACGTGGTGCGATTCACTGCCACTCAGAGCTACCTCAGCTATATCCCCCATCTTCCCAGATAGAGCTGTCACTTCATTCTCCCTTTGCAGATTGGGAAGCTGCGCAGTGAGCTGGAAGTGGTGAATGGGAACACGAAGGTCATGTCGGAGATGTTGACGGAGCTGGTGCCATCCCAGGCCGAGCCTTCTGACCTGGAGCTGCTGCAAGTAAGGAACACTGGCAGGGTGGACTGCTGACACATGCAGCTCAATTTAGCAATGACTTACAGAATCATTGAATCATCAAAGTTGGAGGAGACCTCTAAGATCACCAGGTCCCACCATTAACCTGTCACTGCTGTAACCCCTAAAGCCTAAACCATATCCTCAGTGCCAGATCCAGATGCCTCTCAAACACCTCCAGGGATGGTGACTCCACCACCTTCCTAGGCAATCTATTCCAGTGCTTGACCACCCTAACAGGGAAAACATTTTTCCTGACATCTAATCCGACTCTCCCCTGTCTTAGCTCAAGACCACTCCCTCTAGTCCTCTCCCTACAGCCATGACAGGAGAGACATCCCCCACCTCTCTACAACCCGTCAGGTCATTGTAGAGAGCCATGAGGTCACCCCTGAGCCTCTTCTCAAGGCTAAACAAACCCAACTAGATGGACTGAGGCATGATGCCTGCCAGGTGTGGGGAAAAACTGGACATTTTAGTGTGTGGTCATCAGGGAGTGGTGGGATAAGAGAAACACAAGGAAGGTGGAGTTTCAATGGCAGAGGGAAGTTGCACTACTGAGGCTGGAATCATCTCACATGGGGACTTGTAGTCCTTGAGGGCCTTTCTTTCTGGGTGATGTGTTACACAAAAAGCATATATTTATTCTAGGTAAAGCTCAGAGGCAATTTACCTCTCACACTAATATTTGTTGCCTGTTGACAGTTGCTGACAGACCCCAGTAGCCTCTGGGGTCTGTCTATTCCAGTCAGACTTCCAAATGTGTGAGTGCTCAGCCTTAGCCTGACATTTGTGGTAACTTCCCCTTGCTTTGAACAGGAGCTGAATCGGACATGCAAAGCCATGCAGCAGCGTGTACTGGAGCTGATTCCCCGTGTCCTCCATGAACAGCTCACCGAGGAGCTGCTCCTCATCAATGACAACCTCAACAACGTGTTTCTGCGCCATGAAAGGTACCTCTCTCCTTCCTTCTCTGCCCTGCTCTCCCATGAGAGTTTACTGCCCCTTGAAGGCCACCTATCCTGCCCTTTTGATCTGCCCATGAGTATAATTGTCAAGATGTATCAGGCTGTATCATCCATCTTTGAGAACAAAGCCAGTTCTCAGTTTTGGCTAATTCCTGTCCCTTCAAATCTGCTGTGTAAGCTATTGATGAGCTATAAAGATGTCCTTATGGCATAACCCAGAAAAAGAAAGAGGGAACTGCATAGAAAGAGCTGGTTTTCTAGCTCTGAGGCAGGTGGGGACAGAAAGAAATTGCCCAAGTGGAATCAGCACCGTTGGGTTTTTTTCTTCCATTTCATCAATACATCTCCTTGCTAGGATGAAGTTTGGGGAACTGAGTCCCTGTGTCTGTAAGGAGTGCTGTGCTTGAACCATTTTGTTTAGCAGTAGCTTTGGAGGACCACAAGAATTTTTCTCCCACCACCTCTCAGGAGACATCTGCTCTGTGGGGCTTTTTGTGGTGTCTTCAGTCTTGAGGGGAACTTGGGCCCTGGGCCATGGTTCTCTTTTCCTAGTATGTAGGAAAGGGCATGCTGTACCAAGCCTTATAAGAAACCTCTTGGGCTGTAGGTGAATAAGCACAAAGTACTGAAATGCATCCTGTCATCTTTCTTGCAGGTTTGAGCACCTACGGACAGGACAGCCTGTTAAGGTAACTTGGAGTAACTGCCCCTCTGTGCAGCTCGGTTTGCATCCTGCAGGTCTGGCAATGCCCTGCTGAATGGGACAGAGGTTTAGTTTGCCCCACCTAGAAACAGTAGGCTTTGTTTTCCCAGCTGAGCTGCACCAAACTACCTGGTGTGCAGGACACTCCAGTTCCCACTGCCAGCCTCTCCCTCCCTGCCTGTGGGGGCCTTCCTCTCACTCAAAGGGCAAGAGCAAACCAGCAGCAGTTATAGTTTTGCAGTACTGAACATTGAGAGGACCAATTCCTACATGAACCTTCTCTGAGTACTGCCTTGTCCTCTGAACCAGCATCTACCCTACCTACTGACATCCAGCAGAGGTGGGAGGCTGGCTACCAAGGCATCAGTTCTGATCACTGTCCCTCTTCTTCCAAGGAAAGGCTTCACAGCTGGTGTCTTTCAATGGATATAGAATGGCTTTCCTCTCCAGTATTAATGAGCTAGGATTGTAGGGTCAGGGTGTCTGACCTTCAAAAACTCTCCACCATCTTCTTTCTTTTTTTTCCAAAGGCACCAAATGAGGCAGATAACAGCTTGATTGACCTGGGACCCAATAGTCCTCGTGCATTGAAACAGCCTGAAGTCACCAACAACCTTTCCTCTCAGCTGGCTGGAATGAGTATGTTGCCGTGCAGTTTTCTCTACAGTCTTTCTCCTGTTTCTGCTTTGGTAATCCTTTCCTGCCCTTGAATCATCTCCTAAAATTATTTAGTCATATTCATAGAGCCACCTAGAGAAATAAACTCAACTAATAAACTCATGAAGAAACTTACACGTGCCCCAAGGCACACAAGCATATGTCTTGGCATCCTCATCTTGCGTTGTGCAGGAGGTGGACATGACTTAAGGAGCTCAGCATTAGTCTATGGCTAAGGACTAGGCCTCTTGCTGTGTCATGTCAGGCTGATCTCTGAGGTCTGGGGGAAGAAAAGTAGCTGAAGCTGTGCTGTGAAGGCAGCCATGAGCAACTTGGGCTCAGGACTCCGGATCTGACAGTTTGTTTACTCAAAAAGCCTGGGAGGTCCTGAGGGTTCTTCAAGACATATCAACAGCCTACACAGTACTGCCTGAAGCTCTCACTAGCTGTAAGCACATTCAATACAGCTTGGATGCAGCTACAGAAAATTGGCAAGACTGTTTTTACAGACAAGCCAGTTGAGATATTTTTCAAGTCAAGAGTTTTTTCAGATGATGCCTGAGTGATGAAAATCCACTCATCTGTCTCAGAGGTGCTTGCCCAGAAGCACAGGTTATTGTCTTCCACAGGTTGTGGAGCAGTTCTCTCCTGACTTGTCTAAAATGGTCAGGAACATGCAGACTTCAGCATTAGTGTAGTAAATTGATGCTGCTACTTCTGTCTGAGACTGAGCCAAAAATATCTACTGAGCAGGCAAAAAAACTGCTTCTGTAACTTCACCCACAACACTGCACACATGCATAGACTGTGCTGCAGCTGAGGGGCAGGATAGAGGAGTGGGCGTAGAGCAGTTTAGCTTATTCTGATGATAGCTGTCCATCTAGCACTCTCCAAGCCCACAGCCCTCTGTTTACTGCTCTGTGCTGCCTGCTTACCCTGCTCTCTCACACACAGACCTGGGCTCGAACAGTGTGAGTGCAGGGCTGCACTCCCTTGACACCTCTGGCAAGCTGGAAGAAGACTTTGACATGTTTGCCCTGACCCGTGGCAGCTCACTGGCTGAGCAGCGCAAAGGGTGAGTGTAGCAGCCCACTCTGTCCTGTCCTGCTTATTGCAAGGCAAGAGGGCTCAGGGAAACTGGGGCTGTGACCCCAACCAGCAGCTGTTCCTGGGAGACAATAGGATGGAACAGAAATGCAGTCTTCAGACACAGTGTGTGTAGGATGACCTCTATGCTCCCAATCCTTTTTCCTGCTACCATCATCTCCCCTTCACAGTGTCCTCCTGGGTATGGGGAGAAGGAAGCAATCTCTACATGTGAGCACTGTGGTGCCACATGTTCTGGGGAGATACAGTGTCTGGAGATAAAGGTATGGAGTGGGACTGGCTCAGTTTTGTCTGTCTCTGAACTCATGTGCCCTGACTGGGATGATGTGGAATGTGGGAATGGCTGAATATTGATGTAGCCTAACAGGCAGAGTATTGAACTGGAGTGCAGGAAGAATGCAGTCACTTGTGACTGGCAAGGCAGGACACTGTTCTGTGCCTCAGCTTTCCTGTTGGCAAGTGGGACTGATGTTTCTTCCTCCATAGTGTGTTTGAGCCCTCCTGGTGTAAAGCACTAAGAGTTGGGTCTCCATAGTACTAAAGAGGTGTCTTCTCCATTGCAAAGAGTGTATTCCTGAATCCTTGTTCTGGAGGAGCTGACAGCAGCTGACAAGACTTATGATGACCAGATCCCTTGGGTTTGAGACACCGCGGCTGATCTCACACTGCTTTGCCTGTCAGAGTCATTCGCTGCTCTCCATCAGTTCCCAAGCAGTAGAGCCCAGAGGCATGTAGCTGCCTCCAACCCTCAAAGACCTGTGCTCCTGCACTTCTGCATCCACTGGAGTACCTTGTTCTGGAGCTGGGCAATAGCAAGTTAAGGTCTCTCAAGGATATCTCCTTCCATTCCTCTGCCTCAGACTGCTTCTGGTAAACATGGTGGGGAAACCCATGGGCTACATGCAACTTCACGTGTTTTGGCCATTGGTTTCCCCAGCACTGTTACTGTGGAGTGTGCTGCCCGAGGGCAGAGGCAGTGGTGGCAGCAGCACCCAATCTGGGCCTGAAATCTGAGCCACTGGTATGTGCTCAGGGAGTTCTGGGCAGGGGTGGAATTGTATCCTCTCTGCTGTGGCGCAACCCTTAACAGACTGAGTCTTATGATCTCTGCGCAAGTAACAAGACATCTTCTATTTATTCCTCACTGCCCTTCATCTGCCTGCACTTGCACTCTTGCCAGGTAACCTCTACTCTCACTGGCTCAGGCTTCACATTTCACTCACCAGCCTGTGCTCTCAGTGTCTCCCTCCACCTGAACAGACCCACTGCACTACAGCTCCCGGACAGGACGTGCTGGCAGGAGACACAAGCGGGGCTGCTGGGGTTTGTTCCTGACCCCCTATGCTTCATGTGTGTCTCAATGAACCAATGCTTGAAACACTTCAAGCCTTTCCTGCCATTCTTCCTCATCAGTGGCATGATAGCAGCGTTGTACTTCATCCTGGATGCTATTGTCCACAGCGGCCCCTTCTCTGATGAGCACTTCTTTGAGAAGTTTGAGCGACGGTGGCCCAAGCCCTTGGGCCCCAACAAACATAACTCCACTTGATGGTCTGCTGGATCTGAAGAAGGGGGCCTGGGAGCAGCTGAAGAGGAGACTTGTGGAGAGTTTATGTGACAGGCTTCATTCTTCCACCATTGACTGAGTGTTTTCCCCACTCTGCATGGATCAAATGGTGATGTGTGGCATTAGCATGTATGGTAGCAGCCTAGAAGGGACACAGAAATGGGATGAGGGAGACTGTGGGTGAGACGTGCCTGTGTGTGGAGAGAGGTTGCTATAATGGTGCATTTGGTAACCTTGAAGCAACACTAGGCTCTTCTAATCATCTGGTTTCACCTCTGTAGCATAGGCTGGTGAGTCTCTGCCAGAATCAGGTCTTGAGTGGTATCAGTTAAAGAGATGTTTTTTGAGCTGTTTGTGTCTATGAAGTTAGGTCAGTATGTAGGAGCATGTTGCTCAAATCCTTTCTACAGTAGCTGTAATGTTCTGGTCAGTCTCTTTAGTTATCTGTCTTTGTAGTCAACCCCAAAGAAGGTAAGTGTCGTGGTTGATGCACCTAGCTCTATAAGTCTATGTCTTACTTTTCATATGAGGCCTTGTCATCCTGTCATGTGCCAGGACTGTCCTGTGGTGATGTTGCAGTGAGCAGATTAGTCAGTTTTTTGGTGGGCTACACCTTTAGTAGGGATTTTGCACACCTTTCTAGAAGCTCTTGGGAGCAGAATGACAAGAGATGAAAAGTTGTGCAGTCAGAATATGTGTTTAGGAGTTCCTGCTCTTCGCTCTCAAGCATCTCATCAGCCTGTGTGTTATCTAACTTCATGCTTTCAGGGTGAAGTACGAAGATCCCCAAGCCACCAAAGGCCTTGCTGGGGCTCTGGATGCCCGGCAGAACGCAGGAACGGTAAGTGGCCACAGAGCCTTTAGTGTATTACCAGCACCAAGAGAATCCTCCTTATTCACCAATGCAATATGATGTCTGGAAAAAAATCAGTGTTTTCCAAGACTGATGATAGCTCTCAATCTCCACCAACCTGTGTTTCCTACTTGGGCTACATATTTCATTCTTTAAACCCCTGAGACTGGGAACTCTGGAAAGTCTGGAGTTGAGTCAGTCAGTTACAGGATGTCCTTATATCTGCAGGGAAATTTCTACCTGGAAATGTATGTTTTATTCATCTTCTAGCAGGTTTCCAAGTCCAGTTGCCCTCTCTCTGCAATCAGAGAAGTAGGCCACCAGTAGTGTGTTCCTTCTCCTACCCTAAACCCATCCCCTCTCCCTCACCCTCTGCAATGCAGACTCTCTCTCATCCAGGGGGAGTCTGGTGCCTCTAGTGATGGAGCCCAACTGACTAAGTGGATGATGCGGCAAGGAATGGTGAGATCTGAGATCGTGAAACGCCAGCAGGGAGGAAGGAGACTGGGGCTGCTGAAGTGGAAGTGGCACTGGCACAGCACATGAGGGTGCACAGCAGACATCAGTAGAGACTGTTAACTGAAGTGGAGCAACCCTGGTCTGGGCCAGTAGTGGAGACCAGGGTTGAGAAGGCAGCAGGCAGTGTCAGTCCTTCCTCAAGTAAACATGTCTGTGGAAGACAATCCTAGGAGGTCTGAGGCCAAGGGAGCATGTGCCACTCTGAACTAGAGGATAGCCTGTTTTGAGGTGGGTGTCCAGGCCAGAGGCACTAGCTGGTGGCATCATGAGAGAGGCTGCTGCCATTCATTCCCCTTGCAGCCTCTCCTGCTTAGCATGAGCTGCCTCACTTGGAGGAAAACACATTCTGACTTTTACTCTGTTCAAAGCCTCCTCCTGTAGCTAAAGTGTTTCAGCTTTCAGGCTGTTGAATTTGGTCTTTTGGCAGCAAAACATTATATCCCCTCAAGCACACGGAGGCTTTGACAGCTCCCAGGTCTGAAGCTTGTTAGCACTGTCCAGACTGATGTCTGCTCTGGGAAGTTTCTCCACATGTTGTCCAGTTGTCTTGAATGCACTTCTACCCCAAAGAGTTCCTCTCTGGGTAGGCAAAGCCAGTTCACTTCAAAACTTCCCTAATCTCACACATCCTCTTTCATTCCTATCCATCCATCTGCCAGCTGTGGTAATTATCTGCACTTCCTCTGGTTTGGGGAAATCTGCCTGTCCTTGGTGAGAAGGTGTCACTCTTTTTCTTGGTCTTGATGTTTTCCTGAGGCCAAGGGAGCTATAAATACTATAAGACTAATAAATTAGTTCCCAAAAATACTCTCTCATGCTTCTGTTCATGGAGCCTCTAGCAAGGGCTGCTTCTTGCTCAGCTTTGTTCAGGAGCTCATGACCGGAGAAAAGGATCTGGGGTTTTGAATCAGACTTACTTCCCTTCAAGGTAATCTCTATTCACTAGGAAGATGTCTCTTTGCTGCTTAAATTGACCAAGAACATGAATTCTTCTGAGCTAGCCTCATCCCTACTGGAAGTAAAATTTACTTTTATTGTAGATAACTTTCTCTTTGATAGGTCTGTTTCAGTAGTTTGGTGTGATGTCAAATCCTGCTGTGGTCTGTGATCCTACCAGGGAATCAATTCTTGGCAGGTGTCTTTCCCCCTTTATTGTGGTGCCAAATCTGGCACATCCAATATCTTCAGCGCTGCAGACTTTGACATCAGACTGTCACTGGTTTGTAGAAGGGAGGAGGTGTGGAAAAATAAACATCTTGTGTTCTCTGGCTGCCTAAAACAAGCTGCCAGCTTCCACCTAGTGAGTCCTCCCCAAAGGAGTCCTGATACCCCAAAGCCAACCACCAAACCCCAGATGCTTTTAATGGCTTGTATCCTGGAAACTATGCATGTCTAGGTGTAGATGGGGCAGAGGAAGCAGGTGAGCAGTGGCATTGGTAGCTGGGAGAGCTTTGCAGTGGCACTGGCTGGATTTGGAAGGGCCTGAGCTGACTGAACAGTAGAGCTTAGTGATTTTCCTGGAACATCCTCTCTTTTCCTGGCCTCATCTCCCTTTTCTCTTCTGTCCTAGGTGCCGGTTCCTCAAGCTAATTTCATGGAAGACATAGAAAAGTGGCTATCCACTGACGTGGTAAGTGTCCAGGAGTCAGCAGTGCTGCCAGAGTTGTCTGCAGGGCTGAACTTCAGGCAGTGTACAACAGCACTGGCATTGCTGAATGTGTGGCACAGGCTGCTCAGAGGGAGCAGGGAAGGAAAAACAAAGGACACAGGGTTTGGGATACCACAACAGTACAATTAACCTGCTGGGAGGAATAGCTAATGAACTGAGGCTCAGGGCCACTCTAACATGTCTGTACTCCAGAACTGGAGGGAGCACTATCTTGTCTCACAAAGAATCACATTTGTGAGGTGCCTTTTTCTACCTTCTTTCTAACCATGTCCTTCTTCTTCTTCTCTAGGGAGAGTCAGAGGATGCAAAAGGTGTCACCAGTGAAGGTAAGACATGCCAGCCAACCCTTTTATATAGCTGTTCCTGGCATCACCCTGGCTCTTCCATAAACCTCCCTCTTTGTTAATGCTCTGCTCTTCTCTTGCCCCAGAGTTTGATAAATTTCTGGAAGAGCGAGCGAAAGTTGCGGACCGCCTACCCACCTTGTCCAGCTCCTCAGCAGGGACATCTGTCTCCCCTCCCACTGCCAGCCATCATCAGAAGCAAGCAAAGGAAGATGATGCTATGTTTGCCTTGTGAATGCTATGGACCAGTGTGCTGTGGAGCAAGAGGCTGTGTGTGCTGTTCTGCTTGCCCCAACCAGGGGCCAGCAGGGGAAGGACTCTGTCCCCTTCCTCCATTCTCTTCCTGTTTTACCTTTGAGTTGTTTTTATTTTTAAGCTGCTTTCAGACTTCAGATAATCTTTGTTGTGATTAGGGATGTCACACAATAGACTTGTGAAGGGGGGTTTCAAAGCTGCTAGAGAATGTGGGAGTTCAGTGGGCTTTTCTTTTTTGGTACAGTGTGGGCAAAGTGGAAGAGGCTCCGGAAGAAGCTCCCCAGCCTGCTCTCCAGTGAGGTAGTTAGAGATATTGCCCAAGAAACAGGAGAGGCTGCAGTCTGCTGCTGAAATCATTTCCTCACCCTTTCCCTAGAATGGGTCTCCAGTCCTCTGCCTGCCAGTGTCAGACTGGGAAGCATGGGGATGTGAAGCATTACAGATGGCTGAGGAAGAACACTAATGGTAGAGGGACCCTGTTGCTCTAATCTCTCTTGCACAAGTGCTTGTGGTATGCAACACCTTCCCATTCACAACTCCTTCTCTTCCTCTTCCTTTCCTCCCCCTCCCCATCAGTTTATCCAGAATCCTACCCACAGCCCAGATGTTTCCATTGCATGACAGCCTGTCACCCAAGCCCTTGGCAGCACACAGGGCTTGAGCTGCAAGCGGTACCCCAGGCTTAAAGGGCTGTCTCCTATGGGGTAGGATGTGCCTTCAGCAAACTATTTGCAGTTAATTTAATTCTCCCGTTATTATACTTTTCTCCCAATATGATCCTATCTTACTCTCTCACTTCCATTGATGCCTTCCACCACACCGTGCCGTGGTGTGGGGAGTCTCTCTAAGCCAGGCCAATGCTAGAGACTGTCTTAGGGTAGCTGTGTGTGCTGGAGTTGCAGACGTGTTCCCTGTAGCAGAAAGCCTTGAGGTCAACACTGTTATACCAGTGGCAAGATGCTACAGTTGCTTTTTCAGCTGGTGAGCACAGAGGTGAAAGAGACATCAGTCAACTCAAGCCAGCAAAGCAGCCTGGCAGTAGCCAGGAGCTCCTTTGCACATGGGGAGAAAAACCCTTCGGAGCAAACCACACAGGCTGCCCAATTGTAAATGAAAGCCAGGGAGGAGGGTGCCATGCCCGGGGCTCCTGCTCATGGGATTTCTTGTTGTGTGGGAGAGTTGCTTTTTTTTTACTGCACATTAAAGAGCAAAGACTTAAGCCTCCCTTGCAGATATGGTGTGCGCTGTCAGTGCTGGCATGGAGGACCCTGGGGCGAGAAGAGGGATGCAACCATGCTGCCACATTTGCTCTCCACAAAAAGGCAAGGGCACTGTGGTGCTGAGAGGAGGCACAGCAAGGGGGCCAAGGGTGCTGGGAGCCAAGGCAGGCACTGGCTGCTTTTTATCACAGTCTCCTGAGAAAGTGACTACAGCCCATCTCAAAATAGCAAGAGGGCAAGCTACCTCCTCTCCTTTCCCTCTCTGCCTTGTGATGAGATCCTAATACCCAGCTTGCAGCCCACAAGCCACTTAAAAATACATAAAAGAAAGGGCTCTTTGGTATCCACAGGGCCCACACGTAGCCCTCTCCTACAAAAGGGCTCTCTGGTAATCCACAGGATATCCTCAGTTGTCCACATTTCATCCCCCAGCATCCAGCTGAGTGGGAGCTGAGGGAAGGATTCTTAAAAGGCTGAATGGGTTGAAAGTGTCATCTGAGCCCTAGACTTGTAGGAAGGAGTTAAATCATCTGGAGTTGTCCAGACCTCAGCACCTCCCTCTCCCCATGCCTGCTCCATAGTCTCAGCTGTACCAGTCTCAGGCAGAGCCTTGAGGATAAGAGCTGTAAGCAAATCTGGGCTGCAGCTGGTGACTGTGGAGCTGGAAAAAGCAGGGTGCTGGGTTTCCTTCTCTGTAAGCAGTTGTGGGATGGGAGGAGGCTTTCTGTCTTCTTCAGCTTTCCAAAATGGACAGCACATACTATCCTTGGACAGTTTGTCCCTTGGAAAAGTGAATCACCATTTCCAATTCCATTGCTTTCCAATGCCTCTGGCAGGAACCAGGAGAGCCCTCCCTCCTTTCTGAACCAGGTGGTATTATATATTTAATATAACCCTATTTGAGCAGCAGTCCTCAAACCAGGGTGTGCATGATACCTTCTGAGGTGGGAAGGGAAAGTCCAGCCTAATGAGCCTGAAAACTGCTTGTCCTGCCCCATCTTGCTGATGAATCCATGAGTGGTTCTGCTGGAGGCTGCCTGAAGCTAAATAGTTGTGGCTTCATCTCTGAGCAGCAGTTCTGTAGCAGGACTTCACTGTGTCCAGGACCTCATGCTCCTCACGTAAGAAGGGGCTTGGCTCAAACGAAGGGTACAAAGCACTTTCTCTCTGAAGAGCACAGCCTAAGAGCCACAGGCTTCTGCCTTACCAACAACACAAGGGTTTCATGTGGCAAACAAGGGCAAACACTGGTGATTGGCATGGCTGCAGTCATCTAGCATTTTTAGTCCATTTTAACCACACTCACAGCTGCCTGAAGCATCCTTTTTAATCTTCAAAGCATCCTTGTCACAGCAGATGCTAGAAGTGAAACCTGGGTGGAGAGGCTAGATTTGCTCACATAGCACTGGCTCAGGTCTCTGCTGCCACCCCAACAAACTCAGCTCCCTGGAGAGCACCTCCACCCCACCCCAGTCACTGCTTGTAGAGCTTGCACCGAAGAATTCATGCTGGGGGCATGGCCCATGGGAGGACACAAAGTCAAGAGACCATGAGTGATAGGACAAGGGGTAATGGCTTTAAACTGAAAGAGAGTAGGTTTTGACTGGATCTTGGGAGTAAATTCTTTACTGTGAGGGTGGTGAGGCACTGGAACAGGTTGCCCAGAGCAGTTGTGGACTCCCCATCCCTAGAAATGTTCAATGCCACTTTGGATGGGGCTCTGAGCAACCTGGTCTAGTGGAAGTTGTCCCTGTCCTTGGCAGGGGGATTGGAACAAGATGAGCTTTAAGGTCCCTTCCAATCCAAACCATTCTATGACAGCCCATGAGCTACAAGCCAGTGCAGCATCCCCCCAGTGCTGAAGACTTGCAAGGCCAGGTCTCTCCTGCAAGACAGGTCTGAGCTGATGCATAAGGGTCTAAGGGTCCCTGCAGCTTCCCTCCTGTCTCAATAGAAAAACATAACTAGGAGAAAAGGCAAAAGAGCCAAATGTTGACTTTCCCCAACCGGAGCACCTGCAGGAGAGGAAGCAAGAGCAGGGCCATGATGTAGCCCAGGCTGAAGGGATTTGTAACTGGGGGTCCAGAAGGGTCTCCAGGGCAAGCAATGGGCCTGATGCCCAAGCCCTCTTGCCAGTGTCTGGACTTGGGCTGCCTGGCTCTGCTGGGAAGCTAGAGCTTCAGAACCCCGGTCAGCATTTGTGCAGGATACCAGTCTGTGGACGCCAGTAATGTTTTGAACACTGGTTCAAGCCTCAACAAGTGCTTAAAGTTTCTCTGTGCCTCCAGCTCCCTCAGGACATTGCCTGCAGCTTCCCCAAAAAGAGAAACTAAGACACCCCTGAATGTATGCCCCAAGTATGGGGAGTTCAAGCTCCTCCTTGCTGCCCCTGGGATACCCTGAGTCCACTTCAGGATAAAGACCCCTTCTCCACCCTCACCTTATTCTTAACTCCACAGGCAGATGGTAGAGGACCTGACAAATCCTGAGTGCAAAGGAATTGGCTCACTGCATGGGGAAGGGGTTTTGGTGGCTGCCAAGGTCCGTTTGAATCGATGAACAACAGGTGAAAATTCAGAGCGCTGCTTGAACCCCCCGATGAGCCTGTCTCTTCCCCACCATGTAAGTCAGTCATAGCCATGGTGGATGGAGATGTATCTGACATGTATCTCTCTTTAAGTAACTGAAAATTTGAAGAATGGGGATGAGAGCATGGAAAGATTCCAAATTAGTACTGTCATACTTGTTATAGGTTATACCAGTAATAGCTTGAATAATTTTGCCAGGTTTCTTTTGAAGAGGAAATTGGGAAAAAAACCTGCTACTTCTGCAAGGGATCAAGCTCTACAAAGAGACGTGGACCGACTTCATCACTGGGCTGAGGACAACTGCATGAGGATCAATAAGGCTCAGTGCTGGTCCTGCACTTGGGACACAACAGCCCCATGCAGCTCCAGACTGCAGGAGGAGTGGAGAGAGAGATGTTGGTCAGAAAGGGCCTTGGGAGTGCTGGTGGCAGCGGCTCAGTGTGAGCCAGCAGTGTGCACAGGTGGCCAAGAAGGCCAATAGCATCTTGGCCTGGCTCAAGAGCAGTGTGGCAGCAAGACTAGGGCAGTGACCATCCCCCTGAACTCAGCACTGAGGAGGTCACACCTCAGTGCTGTGCTCAGCTTTAGGCGTCTCATTTTAAAAAGGGACATTGAAGCACTGGAGAGTCCAGTGAAGGGCAACAAGGGCAGGAAAGGTCTAGAACACATGCTGAAGGGCTGAGGGAGTTGGGTATGTGTAGCCTTCAGAAGAGGCTGAGGGGTGACCTCATGG